TTATCTTTTTCTTTCACCGTATTAGCACCGTATTAGTTCAGAATAATAGTGGGAAAAATGGAACTGAATGTTAGGTTCTAGAAATAAAGAAGTTACATTCTATTATTTCCTAAATTGTATTTTCAGTATTAGTTAAAATATTTAACTTATTTATATATTTTATTATTTGTAATTGTTTGTTAAATATATTATTTTTATTCTCAGTTTATTATATATATATATTCCTAAGATAGCCGAACCTCGTGACGTATCATTATGATTACGTCTGAAAATATCACTAACAGTGTGGGTAACAATCTGACAGAACTATCCTTTATAATCATTATAATTAAGTAAGAACAGTATATTAAATTAGTTAGATACTGGGTGAATTATATTTATGATCTAATTACTGTGCAAAAGTGTTAGGACAAGAGAATATTTTGTCATTCTTTCCACTTTATGGGGTTAATTCTTCCACACCATTACAGAATGTAAATTTCAATACTATGGTAATGCTTCACTGATCCCTGTTGACAATTGAATGAGTCAGAGTGAGAATACTTATCATTCTTTAGAATTCCCATATACTTGTACCAAGGGCATGTCATAAAAGTTCTGCTTGAATGAAAATACTGATCAAATTTAGAAAATAACTGTCATGGGACCCCATGCAGTGTCTTAACTATATAGAAAAAAGCTTGCATATGGTACCGGTATATGCTAGAAGAAATCAGTTTAATAGCACTCCACAAATAAACCTTGATAAAAACAGTGTTTAACATTATATGTTTAGTTTTGTTGTCATGCCACGGCCCAAATAGCAAAGAGAATTGCCAGTAGAGCAGAGAGTTCGCATGAAAACCTTACGTGATGCTGGTTGAACTCTCCAACAAATTGCTGCATACTTTAAATGCTCCCCAAACACTATCAAGTACAACCTAGATCGTGAGACAGAGACAGATAAATTTGAAAATAGGAAATGAAAAGTCAAAACACCTAAACTCAATGATACTGATGTTAAGTATCTTCGTTTTTTCAGCCTTCGGGACAGAAGGAAGACTGCCACTGATCTCAAACATGAGATAAACGACCATGTACAAAATGACAGAAACGTTTCCAGATCTACATTATCAAGACTCAACGAGAATGGAATATTTGGTCGTGTAGCAGTTTAAAAACCTTTACTTTGATCTCCAAATATTGTCAAGAGACTGAAATTTGCTAAAATGTACAAAAACTAGACTGTTGGTGACTGGAAACGGTTGTTATGGACGTATGAGTCAAAATTTGAAATATTTGGTACAAAGCGTAGGTTGTATGTCCGGCGGAAGAAAGGTGAAAGATTCTTATCTCAATGCATAGCACCTACCACGAAGCATGAGAGAGGCAGTGTGATGGTTTGGGGGTGTTTTTCTGCTGAGGCGACCGGAGATGTTTGCAAATAGATACAATAATGGACCATCGCAAGTACCATCAGATACTGATCCATCATGGTATA